AGAGGTACATTTGCATGTATGCAAATTTCTTCTAAAAAAATCAGACCTTCTAGGTAACTTTTCCCCCCCTTCCTCTGAAATGCGGTAAAGCTCAAAGCATTGTAATCTCTCCTGCGAAGCTTTCTGAGGGAATAGTGTCCTCGGCAGAGGTAATTATGCACAAAAGCCTGCTAACTTTGTGCAGCCACGGCCCTATAACAGTCAGAACCCGGGTGCTGGGGAATGCTAAGATCACCCCAAAGATTCCCCAGATTGCGGGGGAGGGGGTTCTGGAGAAAGGAAGGCGGGGAGTCATGAGCGGCCGCTCTTCTCTCCTAGAAGTCGGGAGCTGGTGGGTTTGAATACAAACGCCCAAAAAAGTTCTGTCAAGTCAGAGACAACAGTGGTTTAGCTGGGACATCTTTCTGTGTGTTGAGAGGGAAAACTGTGAAAGGTTGTCCCCTTAGGAAAGGGATATGTTTGTGTTCCCAAATGGAAGCCCAGAACTGGACATGGGCTAACATCCGAGTCTGCGTTCCCCAAACACCCTCTAGAAGGGTGCTTTTTTTGCGAATCCCTACTCCCCCCGCCGGTAATATTTTTGAAAATTGAAGAGCTTCCTGAAATTATTTTAGGTTTGCTAAAGTATTGTTTTGGTGCGGGGGGGGGGCGGTTTTAGGGTTTGGAATCTTGCCAAAAAGCCTGTTCTTCCAGCTTTCTTTTTTCTTTTTCTTTTTTTTAACTTAGCATTTTCTCTCTAGACTCTCTTTTCTCCTGAAAGGGGGGGGGGGCTATACCTGTCTCCTCCAAACTCTCTCATTTTCCCCTTCTTCCTGACGTTTTGCATCCTCCTGTATTTACCAACCCTTCTCAAAAATCCCCAGATTCCGACACTGGCACACAGACCAGGGATCTGCTCCCTGGTGGAGGTGACGGGGCTAGAGTCTACAGGTACGCTCATGGGACAGAAGGTTGGCTGATGGAGTATGGGCACTTATCATTCAGATTTTTTTTTTTTTTTTGGAAGGGACAAGAATACTATTAGAGAAGGCCAACTAAAACGTTCTGCAACAGACTACCTCTAAAGTTTTGTTTGTTCTCTAGTCCTGTTGGGGCTAAAATATTTGCCCCATACTCAAGAATCCATTCTTTCCGACCCACCCCATCCCCCGCTCTTGAATGTTCTTGGAAACTTGTTCCATTACTTATTAAGGACTGAAGGAAAATAATAACTTCAACCTTTAGTTAGGACGTCCATTTCGCCAAACTAAGCAACCGCCTTTCCTTGGTTGCTGGTGTCTTTCAGTGAGGAAGAAATGTCCTCCAAGCTAAGAGGAGTTAGAGAAATACTCCTGGCCAGGAAACCCTTTGCTGAGATCTATAACTTCAAGACTCTCCAAGTTTCCTCGACAGAAGTTTCTGGCTGAGGGACCCAACATGTAACTGAGGCACAGTGACAAGTTATTGTCCCGTGTGTGCTCTGGGGAAGCTCTTCCAAAGCGGATTATTCGGATTATTCTTATTTTTATTACTATTATTATTTATTATTGTGTATATAAAGATACACTTCACATCTGTCTCTTCGAAACAGCAAAGATTCTTACTTTTGATTCTCAAGGGTTTTTTTTTTTTTTTTTTTTAAGTAACTGGCTTTCACCATGCCTTCTTTTTTTAAATGGGGGAAAAGTAATTGAATGCTGATATTTCCACTTTAGAAACTTCTTTTGTTGCAGCAGTGGATGTGCCCGCGATTTCCAGCATTCTGCGGTTAGCAATATTATCTTAAGTAACTTTTGGCGCCCTTCGTAAGACTTTTGGATATGGGACGATTGTTTGCGCCCTCTAGGCAAGGGCTGGATCCAAGTTCAGCACCAAAGCCCTCCACATCCGCTCCTGCTTTCTCTCCTATCGGTGCCAGCTCCCGCTCCCTCCCCCGCTCCGGAGGAGGGTGGAAGGCGGGGGGGAACACTACAAAGCCCAGTTCCAACTACAGCCTTTACAAAGTAGACTGAGAAAAATACCGTAGAAGAGTTACAGTTACAGAATGGCTTCTGGAAACTTTCTCTCCAACAGGCATAAATTTAAACACACAAAGAAACAGATGTTCCTGAGAGGACAGACAGGGTAAAAAGAATTTCTAACTTTCTCCCCTCTTCTAGGCTGCAAAAGTAAATCCTTGTCTGGAGTTCACAAAGATACTAAGGGAGGGAGAGGAAGGAAGGACAGGGAAAGAGGGGGGAGGAAAGGGAGGGGCAAAGAGAAGGGAAAAGAGAGTGTAGGAAACACAGGTGATATATGAAAACTAGTTTATTGCAATCATATAAATGACCCATTGTTAGGAAGAATAAACCCCTTATTGGAAACATTACTCCAATCCTTTATTTTGCAAGTGGTAGGAGGCTGCCTTGAAACCGGATTGTCTTTGCAAAAAGGAGGTTCCTGCCATGCTCTCTGCTATCCATATTCTCCCTGGCATAGAGCCCAGCCTTGCATTTACTGTTTTATTTGCAGAAACGTTACCTTGCCAGCTTTAGTGAAATCCTCTTAGATGTATAAATTACATCAATAAAGTTTCACTTCTACATACATCTGAAATACCTCTCATTTCTAGTCTACTTAATTGGGAAATTGTATTAATGCGATTTAGATTTTAATGCACAAAGTAATGAAGATGGGACTAGGATTCCTAAGTGACAATACCATTTGCTCTGTAGTTATTACCAAGATTAACTCTATTAACTAGCATTCCCCAGCATTCTCTCCACTAGTTTTTAACTTGCTGTTCACACGTGGGGCGTTCTCTTACTTGCATATAATCCCCAATTGAATATGATGCAGAGTTGAGCATACAAGTGAATTGTAACATCAACTTTTCAAATCAGGTTTGACTGCAAGGCCCAAGGCCTAGGGAAATAGTTGCATGAGTATCAAATCCACATTTTTACAAGGTAAGGAATCCATATTATTTTCCATTCATTCCCTGCAGAATTAGGAGGTGGTTGATATATTTAAGCCAGAGTCTGCAAGTTTCATCTCCAAGACAAACTAAGGCAGTTGGTTTCACCATACAGATGTCAAGGACTTCAACAAGAGGCCAGCCTGCAGCTGATGGGGAGAGTCAGTTATCCTCCACACATGCACCCTCCAGTAGGGTTGTTGTGGTAACAAGAAGAAATGTGGGCTTGGTGGCTCTTAAAATGCTCTTTGCTACTGACCACCATGTGAAACAGTAGAATTCAAGAAAATCCACTCCTTCCCTCCTCCTTTTCAAATCTATAGAACAGCTGTCCAACCACCTAGAAGCCTCCTCTTCCTTTGATATGCCAAAGATTCTAAAAGAACCAGTGAGAAGTTTTGAAACACTCAGTGCCTCACCCAAATTGAAGCATATCTTTAAAGAAGTTAAACCTCTCCTTCTACAAGTTACCAACTTGTCCGAGTATTAAAAACAACAACTAATGCAACGTTAAGTATTACTCTAGCAAAATTTTCCAAAAGAGCAAAGTTAAAAGGCACACTAGATTCATGCAAAACTCCCCCAAACAGCTTTTTTCCTCCTTTAAACTCAAAAACCCTTTCCTATTGTGATTGCTAAATCCGGAAGCGCGAGTATCTTTCTTTGACAGCTTGAACTACGAGCCATCCCCTTCAAAACTGCAGAGAACTTCAGATCTCCTTTGCCCCGCCCCCTATGGCTATTACGAACCATTGTACACCCAAGCTTTCTCGTGATTGGATAGAGCTTCTGTCAATCTCTCATGTTGTCCCATTGATTAGAGGATCGAATCGTCAATTATTCTCGGGTCCAGACATTTCTTTTCGGGTTAGGTTGACTGCAGAGGCCAGACGTCTTTAACAGAGCAGAGCACGTACAGGATCTCCCCTCCCCCTCCCCCTTTTCTGGAACCGAGCAAGCGCTAGGAAGAAAAAAATCTGTTAAGCTCAGCAATTTTTTCAAATCCTGAAAAAAGAAAGAAAGGAAGAAAAAGAAACCCGGTCTCTGCTGCACATAATAAAAACGCCATCCACAAAGCTGCATCTTTAAAATAAAACCATCACAATAGACATTTACCCAGCAATCACTTAAGTGCATATTCAAGCTAGAGAAATTTTAAAGTCTTAGTCATTAAGCATAACCATTCTACCGTTGTTTATATAACGCATATAGTATAAATGTAAAATAGAAAGTTTAAGATGTACCACGTACCATTGCAATGTAAAAAGAGTACGTGAGAAACTTTAAAATGCTCAGACGAATTGCTTCATAGCTTGTCCCCTGTTTTTTTGCATTAAAAAAAAATAGCTAAATAAACTTGGAACCGTTGAAAACCCGGAAGAGATTTTTTTAAAGCTGCTGGCCAATTGCAGGCTTCTTGGATAATTTTTTTTAACTCCAAATCAAAAGGCTTCTGCCACTGCAGAACTCCTCTCCTCTCTCTCTCTCTCTCTCTCTCTCTCTCTCTCTCTCTCTCTCTCTCTCTCTCTCTCTCTCTCTCCCTCTCTCCCCCTCCTCCCCTCTCTCTGTCTCACAACACAATCTCTCCCTCTCTCGCGGTCTCTCTCTTTCTCTCTCTCTCTCTCTTCTCTCTGAAAGCGATCCAATCTAACCCGGGCTGGCTGCTTCTCAGATTCTCTCTGGATTTGCCTGGTGTGCTTGTAAGAGACTTTGCAGAAGTTGCGATCCTTTCGGCAGTCCCTTTTTCCTCTCCCTACCCCCTTGTTTATTTCCGCAATCGCTGCAATTTGCATAGTAACCACGCACGAGGCTGGCGGAGGGGCCGGAGGGGGCAGGGACAGGCCCGGGCCTCCCCTCCTCCCTCTCGGCGCAGTCTCCTCCTCCCCCACGGCGCGTGGCCAATGGGAGCCCCTGCCTTCAGCGCAAGCTCGGGTCGGGACTCCCGGCTGCAGAACGGCCCCTGGGTTGGTAGGCCCGGCTCATGGGATCCGGGTTTTGGTGCAAGGGAAGTTTCCCTGCTTGCAGAGCTCGCAGCAGGCTTTTGGAAATGGGAAGATTGTGGAACGTTTGCCCGCGGTCATGCCGGTTTTGCATGTTTTAATCACGCCGGCACACCTGCTTTCTCGGTTTCTTTTCCCAGAGCCTCTCGTGAGTTATTAGACTAGTTCATGATGGTTAGTGAGAGATTTAACCTTTATTTGCACTGATGTAGACCGGGAGTTAAAGATCCTCCCTGGTCCATTAAATCAAGACAGAGCAAAATGTCAGAGAACTTCAATGAGATAAGGCTTTCGTCCTGGGTAGAACAGGAGAGTGGCCCTGTTATCTCTAGAGGACTGAACACAGAATGGCTAGGTGGGCTCCAGCAAGAAAGAAGCTCCTTTAAAGCACTGATGCTTTAACAACATTCTAATTTGATCGCCAAACTCTTTATTTACCAATATTCATGTAAACCCTGGATTGTACAAAGTCTAAAGCAGTCCCTCCACTTGGTAACCCCCAGAAAAGAGCTGAGTGATGACTGGGGGAGGGGCATGTTAGTAATGGGTATAAGAAGTCCTTCTCCTTCCCGTTGACCATCTTATTTCACTAACCCAGACTCTTTACCACTATGTCATCTGGATATTTCACCGTCAAACTTGTTTTATGAGTTTAGGCATCAAAATACCCTTTGGTGCAGAGCAGGGACCAATGGCATTGAAGGGAGTATCACTTTAAATGGAAACCGTCACAACTAGACTTGCACTTTTTGTTACTGTTGTTGTTGTTATATTTAATGTGTTTGCTTTATGTCTCTTAAGTAATTTAGGATATTTTGCAGAATAAAAGAATTACTAGAAATTGTATACTTAGCTCACCTCTTTTTTTTTTTTTTTGAAGTTATCCAAGAGGACTAAGAAACATCCTTGTCCTTTGATTTCCATGACTGTCCTTGGTGAAAAGATCTAATCAGTTAGTAAGAACTCTTCACAGTTAAAGTAAAGGCTCGAGGAGTCTCATATTTTATTTTGAATTATAATTTTTGCTCCAGTCATGCACTTAGCTGATGCAACATTGCTGGAAGAAATCTTACATGGCTGTCCTTGGTATTCGACAAGCTTTGCTGTTCTGGTTTGCTTTTCATGGACTAGGATCAGCTTTTATTCTACACAGCCTGTGGCATTTAATTCAGTTCTTGTGTACCCAGCGTCCACTTACACTTGTCATACTACTGTCAATCCGAGATAAACTAAAGAGAACTGCTTAGGTAATAATGATGTTGATGGTGATGATAAATATTAGTTGAAGTAATAAAAATGTCCTAGGCCTCCTTCAACTGGTCAGGCTGTGTTGCCTTCAGACAGTTATAATAACACCTATAAAAGAGGACAGTGACCTGTTGTGAGAATGAAAACCTCAGATAAGACCAGGAGGTTCCCACTGCACTGTCATGGTGTGAGTAACCCACAATGCTGAGCAAGCCAGGCCTCATAAGTAGTTGGCAACAGTGAGTTTTCCATGAACTATCTGTAGTTCATGATCCTGATTTAATGTGGTAGGCTGATGCCATGACAAAAGTGATCTTGTATATGTCCATCTATTCAACAACATACCATGCATTTCAGAGTCCATATTAGGTTTTAACATTGGTCATATCATGTGACTTTCTACAAATTATTTAGCCTTTGCAAGCATTACCTTCCTTGTTTGGAAGACGAGAAACGTTCATGTAATATGTGTAAATTGGCTTCATCATATTGAGCCGTGTTCTAAGCACATTGATAGAATGAATATATATATATATATATATATATATATATTCATATATATACTTATATATGACAGTGGTGCCCAACTCTATGTGGCTCTGCCAATAGAATCATGAGGGCTTGGAAAGAGCAAATGTCATTTGTTATGAAACAAAAGTATTACATTTGTCAGACAAGGGAAGAACAGGCAATGTATAAAAGTGACTGGTGTGAATTGGTTTGAACTGATTTGCTTTATAGTAACTAGAGGACAAGTTACAGCATCATGCTAGGTCAAGATGGTGGAGTGGCTTATTTATGTGCAGCTTGTTTTCATTTGAAAGACTGAATGATTGGGAAGTCATCAAAGGTATTTAGCTAAAGAAATAAGTAAAATAAAGTTTGCTGAGTAGAGAAGGCAGAGAGAGAGAGAGAGAGAGAGAGAGAGAGAGAGAGAGAGAGAGCAAGAGACTGGGACTGGAGAAGGTGAAGAACTGAGCTCAGTTACAAACCATGAGAAGAAGGTTCTGTAGAGAGGATGGGGTTAGGTTTGGATAGGGAGTGTTCTGCTAAGTTCCCCCAGCTAGTGGTGTTCTTGAGGGAGGTGAGACTTAGACTTAGGGAAGCAAACTACTGGAGGGGTGTCCTTGTGGATATGTCTTATTCTAGGCTTCTCTTTCTCTGTGCCCTAGGTACCATGAGATGAGTAGCTTCTTCCAGATGCCTGGCATCCTCAGTGACATTCCTGCTACCTCCCGCTCCTCCACTCCCCCCTCTCCCTGCCCTGAGGTGGTGGCTTTACCATAGACCCAGATTCAGAACCAACTTCTGCTTTACCATAGACCCAGATTCAGAACCAAGGCCTGCGGGATGAAAGCTCAAAAACTATGAACCAAAATAAATCACTCTGGTAGTTTGGTCACAGCCAGAGAAAGCCAACAAAGTGGCACAGAGATAGAAAGCAGAGGCACCACTGATAGACATTTTCAAAGACTTTGGTCAATGGGTACAATTCAGACATCAAACTTTTCCAGACACTCCTTGGTGTACAAGTGCCCACTTATACAAGTAGAAGAGGCTCTCTCTCTGCTCACAAATTGCCAATTCCCTCATGTCCTTCAACCTAACAATTGACTAAATAATATAAAAATGACACCAGTAATGGGTAGTACTCGTATCTCGAGTGTTTATACCTGATTGGTTTGCCCTAAATCTTGAATTTGCATCCAAGTAAATGCTGTCCCACCACAGCACAGAAGCAGGTGGGTGACTCGGAGTTGCAAACCTCACTGTGAGCCTGAGGTTGCATGTAGTTTGGCTTTATGCCTTGAAAATAGTCAGCTCTTCCAGGAATTCTGCTTTGTTGACCCAAATAGAACTCTAATCTTCTTGCAAGACATTGACATAGAAACTAGAACACCAAAGCCTGACAGAATTAGAGACACAATTCAAAATTGCTTTTTTTGATAATCAATTTGTTCTAATTGTGAAAAAATGGAATATTGAAACAAAAAATATACATTTCTATTTTTTCAATTGCCCTGTCTAGGTCCTAGATCAACCAATTAGTTTTTAAAGCAAGCTAGTTAACATGAGCATTCACAAGATTAACACAGCATTATAAATGATAACTTTTATAAGTGAAGTTAAATCTAGGAATTAATAAGGCCCCTAAGTAAGTTTGGACATACATTGTCCCCTCTCCATCTGCTATGTGTCCTCTTGTCTTGGAGATGTAGATGAACAGTTAAGGGTCTTAGAGTTGACACTTACTGAACCTTCTCTCAGGGAAGTATGTGACATGTGATTAAGTTTTCAATGACACACAATTCATGTGTGGCACACAATTCTTATGTCACTTGTTTAAAGGAAATTTGTGTTGATTATCACTCTTCCCAAAGGCACAAGGGAGACCCTAACGTCCAATATAAGAGCTAGGACAATGCCCAGGAGGCAAGAGAGCAGCAAGATGGAAGAATGTGAATCTCTAAATGACTTGGTGAGACAGAGTTGTTTCTTTAGGGCAAGTTACAGTTAACCCTTTGTGCACTGAGATTATTGATGTACTAACAACCAAGAGTAACAAAATCTGAGAATTCCTTTCCATTGTTACCTCTTAGAAACCCCTCAGGCTCTCCACAGCATAGTATTTAACATTGAATTTTATCATCTACCTTCTTTTTCAGATTCTCCTTTTGCTCATTCTCTCCCTCTTGCTTTCTCATCCTTACCACAAGCAATGCCTTGTTTTTCTTTTCTTTTATCACTTTCTGACATACCATATATGTTTATCGCTCTTGTTCTTGTGTGTGTGTGTGTGTGTGTGTGTGTGTGTGTGTGTACACATATGTGATTCTGTCTTGACCAGAAGTTCCTGATGTTTTTTCCCTATACCTTTCATTTTCAACAGGTAACTTAATGCTACTTCTCACTCTTCTCAGGCAGAATTGGTGAAAAGCTCATTCTCTTTCTAACATCTTACACTCATCTAAAGCTTTTGTGTTAAATATCAGCTATTTATAGAGACAATTATTTTATTCATTCTTGAATATGTCTATGCAAAGTACCCATAGTAAGAAAGTAATAAAGTGTCTTTAATGAACTGCTGTAAATGTGTGGGTAAATACAGAAAATGACTACCTTTCGCAGCCTCAGTGCTCTAGTAGTGAACATGATCGGGTGTATGCTGTTGCCAGAGAGGGTATTATCACAAGGGAGAATTGTGACATGAAGAGAGACTGAATTTGCCATTCATAGGATGCCATGACAATCACCTTTAACCTTCTTGTTGAATAGGTGCCATTCCCACTACATAGAAGAGGACACTACGGCTCAACAAGCTGTGGGGAGATAATCAAGCTCCCTTACACTTAGTCAATAGTTGCACAGAATATCCAATTCACTTAGAATTTCCCTTCAGAGCTCTAGTCTGTGATGTCCCCTTTAGGAAGGAATATGACTTCAAATTTCTTAAAGTATAATTTTTGTGGTTATAGTCTGTAACCATAATCAAAAGCAAACATGTGGATCCATCCTTCTCTTCTTGGACACAACACAACTAGAAGAGGCTGAACAAAACGC